GTATAACTTCAGAGAAGTCAGTTGAAGGAAATGACTGGAGAAAAGGCTGGCTGATGTTTAAAAAAATCACTATAACTACCAGTTACTAGTTTCAGTTGACAACATAATGGTTTACTGTTGTCATTGTCCATGCCTACAGATAATTTGTTTTGTATTTTTGAATAAAAAGACATTTGTACATTCCTGGTGACTTAAGTGCAAGAGCCATGTACCAATGTACTGCTTTCAACTTAAATCACTGAGGCATTTTTACTACTATTCTGGTAAAATCAGGATTTTAGTGCTTGCCATCACCCGATGAGAAGTTAAGAAGCAGCCTTTCTGTGGAGATTAAGAATAACTGTGTATGAAGTAGAAAAATATCCAATTATGTGACAACCTTTGTGTAATAAAAATTAGTTTAAAGTTAAAAAAAAAAAGAGTGAATGCATTTTTCAGATAGCAACAAGTTGAGCATAGGTAGAGCTGACCAAGAGAATCTTATTTGAAGATTGAGACACACACACACACACACACACACACACACACACACACACACTCACATAGACTTATACTACAATATACGGTCGTCCTATTCCTATGCTAATCTTGACAACACCTACAAACGTGATCAAGTATAACTAAACCTCTGATTGATTTTCTTTTATTTGGCAAACATGATATCAGGTACTTGGTTTATGTTAACCTAGTATGTGGGCCCTATTATAGAGTAACTAGGTTCTTAAACTGGGATATGCAGTAAATATGTCTACCAATGAATCCACACATTATGTCTGTATGAATCGATACATTGGTCAAATATGTTATTTTCTAAAATATCGCACACAAAAATAATATCTGCATGACCTCTACATTGAGAAAGCATGACTCAGAAAATATAATCATAAAGCACTTTTTTTTTTTGTTCCCATTCACATTTATTCATTGGAGTTAGTTTTGGCCCTGTTCCTGGATAACAAACAGTGGTAATCCTGGTCACTTTTACGTGACTTGAAATCCTCCAGTGTGTTATTATAGTGTTTAGTGCCATTTAGTGGTGAGACCTTTGAGTCGTTCCCCATATTGAACCATCTCTAGATTGGGAAACTTGCATTTAAAAAAGGGAGAGTCATCATCTTCTTTGCTTTGTTTTTCTCCACCTCCTCTCCTCAGAGCTCCAGGATTGACAGAGCAAGTGAGGATAAAATGAGACCAAAAGCTTCTCACTCAACACTGGCATGAACTGGCATGATGTTCTCCGAATCTAGAGTCATCAACTTAATTTTCCTCTTGTGCCTGCTTTCTGAGATCTTTGGTCCATCCCTCTTTTCCCCCCTCCTCTTCCCATACAGTCCACAGAAATAAATTCCTATAGGCCCCCTAAAACCACTACCTCTTCCCTTGGTACTTTTATCAGCAATTAGCCAGTCCATGTCTTATTACTTAGATTTCTCAGGTAGGAGTCAGACACTCTTTGTGAGGCTAATATCAAATTCTCCTAAGCAGCTCCATTAAACGCTTTTTCCATTGGACTTTAGGCTTCCTCCTTGAGAAGACATTGGGGCTTACAACGCCACTAGCAGATCTCTCCAAAAATCCTCTTTTTATGCTCTATGTCTTAGCTTTTCCAATTTTTATCAAGTTTTGCTTGCTGGTCCTAATTAGAAATCAGTAGCAGTTATCTTCAAGCCTCAGCTAAAACTGAGACATCGACAGTGATACTTTAATCTTTTTACAGTATCTGGTTTTATATGAGTTTTCACTTACTTAAAAAGAGAACATAGCATATACTCTGATTAATTATAATATTGGGATGTCGGAAAAGTTATGATGCATTTTTGCAATGAAAAACATAGAAAATATACGTCATGACTTTTCCAACAACCCAATATAATTATAAAACAGAAATAGTATTTTATAATTACATTATAAATAAGAATCGTACTCATAATGTTTTGAATATAATTATATGAATAATCTAAATGGCAAGTAAAACAATTTTCAAAATATATAATTAATCAGTTAAACACACATCTGTTTCTTAATTATAAATGCATTCATTTTCTACCTTAGAAAAATTCTGAGACAATAGGAGTCTAGTGGTGGGCAAAACAAATTTGGTCCATTCCCTCATAGAATCTGCAGTCTAACTGCACATATATATATATATATATATATATATATATATATATATATATATATATATATATATATATGTTATGATGTTTGGCTAGACCTGACATAGTTTTAAAGCCTGGACAGAAATGGAGACTTGGTACAGAAGAGGGATAGCAACTGATCAACAAAATAGTGAGCCAGTGAGAACCCCAAATTGATGATAAATTGATTAAAAATAACAGTAAGAGCTG